TAATTTTAAATGCTTTTGATATCAATTAATTTTCAAATATAATAGAAAAAAACTTTTAAATTAATAAAATAAAACAACAGTCAACATTAATTAATTATATACTAAACTTTAGTAAATCAGTAAAAAGTACTCAAAGATCTTAATAAATCTTTATTTTTAAAATATTATTAACTTTAATATTTGCAAAACAGTATCAATATAACTATTTTATATCTAATTAGTTAAAATATAAAAGTTGAAAAAGTGTATATAACAAAAATTGCTTATAACATAAAAATATTAATATTTTAAATAATTAAATATTATGGTTAAGGCTGGAAATTAGTAACCTTAATTTAAAAAATTTAAACATTGCCAAAATCCATCTATATTCTTTTATAAAAACTAAATATTGACCTAAATATTAAAAAAAACTAAAGAAATATATTCAAAATAATTTAAAAATTTCATAATAAAGTACTTAAAATAATTATTGAATATAAATTTTTTTAAAAATATTAAATTTATTTAATATTTAATTATTATATAGAGGTTTATATTTAGCCTTTTTCCTTATAAATATAAGTAAAAAAAATTATACAGTTAAACCTCTATAAGTACACATTGTTGAAAATTGTGCACTTATAGAAAATATACACTTATAAAGAAACAAAATATGATTTGATCAGTGATTTAATCAGTGATACATATGCAGATTGAATTAATATTAATTATAATACAATATAATAGCAATAATTATTATTTATTATATAAAATATTAATAACTTTATTTAATCAATTTTTATTATAATAATAAATATATATTAGCAAATTAAATTTTTATTTATTTAATAATTTAATGCATATTAAAAGTTTAATCAAAAAAGGCCAAAACAAACACTTATCAAATATTCTCATATACTCAAATAAAAAAAATATACTTATTGTCTTTTTTATTGAGAATTATATTACTAAATTTTGAAATTAAACTAATATACTCTTTTGTATTATTTTTTGTTATAATAAATATATAAAGAGTATATTAAGTGCATTTAGTACTTTTGTTCTTATAACTTCTTGTTGTTCTTTATCAGTAAAATTTGCAATCTCTTGATCAATAATATCTGAATTTACTAGCTTCACAATTTTTTAGTTCATTGGTAATCTGTTAATAATATTTTCTTCAAAAAAATTTATTTACTTCTATAATTAATAATGTTTAAAAAAATTTAATTTATTATTAACTGTAGATATATTCTCTTTTATTTCTTTATTAGCTTTTATTTCTAATGCTAAGATGTTAGAAAGAATTTTTGTATAACAAAAACAATTAAAGATCTGTTAAAGAAACTTTATTTCAACTATTAGCTATAAAATTTATTGATATAAGTATATTAATATAATTTTTTTTCTAAATTTTATTTCTATATTATTCAACCTCATATTTATTTATAATTTATCAAATAAGTTAAAATTTATAATACTACTTAAATGATATTATTATATTTGCATTAAGTTATTGAATTCAACTTGTTATTCTAGAAGATAAAAAATAAACTTTTGTATTTTTAAGTATTATATTATCAAGTTTATAACTAATTGCCCATCTAGTAGAAGAATAATATTACATTTAACCATTTTTTGATCAACTTTTATATTTATTTATTAAATATAATTTAAGTTATTCAAGCTTTTTTGTTAGCTTTATACATTACATATAAATTATTTTAATTAATGTTTTTAAAGTACTGTGGGTTTTAATATTTACCAATTACAAGTAGTTTATATTTATTATTTCTATTAGTATTTATATAGAATATAACTGTTAATCACTTTTTATTTTATTTTTTTTGTCTTTTAAACTTATTGTAACTAAAGTAATATCAGGTTCAAGATAATAAAACAATGCTATTTCATCTATATTATAAATGTCTTTAATGTTATATTGAACTAATAAAGTTTTTAATTTTGAGATCATAGTATCTGCAGCATTATAATCTACTAAAGCATCTTTTTTATAACATTTAATTTTAGAAATCCTATATCTTTTTTTAAATTTTTCTAACTATCTAGATGAAAACTTTAAATTGCATTTGATATTGTTATATAAGCTTAGTATTATATAATCTATTTATGTAATATATGATCAAGTTCTGTATATTAAATAGGGTTCAATCTTTTTAAAAAAATTTTTTTAATATCAATATTCTATCAACTAGGTTGCTAGATTTTAGACTAGAAAAAAAAGATATTAAGTTGATCTTAATATACCAAGAACAGGTCACAGTCCTTCTGGACTATCTGGATTGAGAGTCTAAGGTCAAAGCAGAAGTATACTAAAAGTACTAAGAATGTGCTGTGAAATCATTACTAAGGTCTGAGTGAACTCTGTAAGGGTAACCCTTATTAATGTTCTAAAAGTGAGTAGATAGTTAACAATGAGATCTCCTACACCTTATTAGCAAATAATATATTCTGAAATGTGTAATAGTTTGAAAACCAGTACAAAAAGAGTAAGTATCATACTGCTTAGACAATATACTAATTAGGTATATATGAGGGTAAGTTGGGGTTACATTATAACAAGGCAGATGATCAGAAGGTTTAAATAGATAATCTCCTAGTAGGTTATAGGTACAACATCTAATGTAGAACCTTAGGACAGACTACTTAAATAGGCAACCAAAAGTTGCACACATGACTAGTTGTACTCTCATCTCTATAAAATAATTGTAATAGTTAACCCAATAAAAGTCAATAAAGTATTACCACAAGTATACCTTTAAAAAATATATATATATATATCAACATTATTCTATTTTAATAAACATCCAATAGTAGTATGATGAATATCCAAATTGTATATGTCTTTTATCCATTTGACAATATTATCTTGTGTTACATCTGGATTTTCATTTTTATATTTAATGACTTCAAGTCTTTGCTTATTTGTAAATGTAATTCTTTTAATTTTTTTGTATATATAAAATTCTTTAAGCTGATAATTTGAATATGAAAACCTATTTTATTTTAATTTATCTATTAATTAATTACATCATAAAATCTTAATAATCTATTAGTAATAACAGGAGGAAACGTTGATGTTACACAATTGCTTTTACACACTGTGTAAAACACATAAAAAAATTATTTTACAATACTAATCCAACATCATTTTTATTATAATAAAAATGATGCTGGATTATAATCATAACATCTACTAACGGACTGATCAAGTATTGTAAAATATTTTTTTTTGTGTTTTACACCGTGTGTAAAAGCAATCGTGTAACATCAAAGTTTCCTCCTGTTATTACTAATAAGTTATTGAAATCGCGGAATTTATTGCTATGACTTGCAACTACGTATATCGTTACACGAAATTTTATCAATGATGTGCACTTATAGAGAGAAATGTGCACTTATGGAGGGTGCACTTATGGAAGTTGACTGTAATAATACGAATACGAATAAGAAAGAAATAAAAAAACAGAATTTTATATTGCATACGTCAGTAAAAATCAGATGTTGGAAAATCATGTGACTACACCCTCGATTATTGGTGACGCTGGTGTTTTTCTTTTGACATCATATCTCAAGTTATGGCTATTTGGGCGTAAAAAAGGTCACGTCACCGATAATATTCCTACACCTATAGACATAACGCTGATCAATTTCCAGAATTCAGAAACCAGGATATTTCCATGGCTCAAAACAAGTTACATCGTGATGTTAATAGCACTCACGCATTGAACACGTTATTAGTACTCACGATATTGGACACGTTCAATATCAAAAACCCCTACCTACGCAGTTCATTACTCAACCCAAACCTCCATTGTCTCCTGTGCAAGCCAATATCCAAATGAGTGCGTGAGAGTGAAAACCTGGAAACCGATCATAGTAAATCATTAAATCGGTTTCCAGGTTTTTACTCACGCACTCAAATCAATAATAACCTACAAAGACAATCATCACTTACGTCTCAACATCCGACTGATCAACAAGGGATTGAAGAGTATTTAAGCAACCACCGAAGCCAAAATATAAGTGAAGAACAAAAAAAATGAAAATATTGCCACACGAAATGAAGATGTGAATATGACTATCACAATTATAACCCAAGAAAATATAAATGCATTATCGTTACTTTTATTGTTTTTGGGATAATTTTATCATTAGGATTTTTTTTAAGCAACAAAATCTCAGTCTTATATTACGAGTTTGCTGATAATAACATAACCTTATTTTGCATTTAAGATTTATAGGAAATCTAGTTACAATTATTAGCGCTATTGTTGGTTTTATAAATTTTATGCTGCTAGCAAATAATGTCTGTTTTTTTAGCAATTCATTCTCTTATTCGGGAAATTCATGATTTTTCTTGGAAGTCTTACATTTGGTAATTGTCCTTTTTTTCTTGGAACTAAAAATTTAAATTGTATAAAATTTTAAATAAAGATGTTTTCGATACTACTACTTTTTGCAATAACTATATCAAGGCGTAGGAGCACGTAAAAAAAAACAGTCGCTTTGGAAAAATCGCGGGTTATCTTCAAATTCAGACTACGTAGTAAATCGTCCTTTTAGTCTTAACAAAAAATTTTCCTCGTGCAATTTTGCTATGTAGCACCTAATTTTACGTACGTATGTATAATTATGCATTTTCAAACTTTATAGAAGTGTACGTACTTTGTCGATCGTCATGGACCCCAAACATTAAAAATAGTATAACAGTACTAAACCTTAAAAGGCCCACACAATCATAAGTATATGCATTTCGTCGTGAGATATTTAATAATAAATGTATTGTTATACAAATTTAACCTAGCCTTAATTAAAGTTAACAAGTTTTTGCCGGTTATGTATCAGATTAGATCAATAGCAATGGCATACAAACGATAAAAAAAATCCTGAATGAGAAATGTGTACAGCAATCTAAAAAACTAATAAATCTGCGATTATCGGTATAAGATACCCTTTCTTTGAAGACGCATGAATTGATTTTTTTTTCTTTCAAGATGAACTTTGGAAATAAATTACAATTTTATCTTAATGGTACAAGTGTCGAGATCGATAATCCTGATCCAAATGCTACTTTACTTAATTATGTTCGATCTATTGGATTAACCGGGTATTTTAGGACTACTTAACTAAATTATAAAGTTTTTCTACAATTGACCTTTGGGAATCTTTTTTAGAACAAAGACGGGATGCGAGGAGGGTGGTTGCGGTAATCTATCTTTTTTTTTTAGAAACAAAAATTTTTTTTTTTTCTTCAATTGAAATGATTGCTTAATTCATTTATCATTGGTATGATTCTTCAAAAAGGCGCTTGCACTATAATGATATCTTCTTATGATAAAAAGTCTGACAAGATTTCTCATATTTCGGCTAATGCTTGCTTGACACCATTATGCTCCGTTGATGGTAAACATGTCATAACAATAGAAGGAATTGGGAATGTTAAAAATCCCCATCCTATCCAAGTATGAATTTTTGTATTATTATTGTCAATTTGATACTTTGAGATTTTATCTTAATGTTATAAATCAATGGTTTAATAACTCAACAGGAGCGTATAGCCTCATTGCATGGGTAAATTATTATTTTTTTATGTTATATCTATTTAAATTGTAATTCACCTATTTGAAATATTTTTAAATGTATTATGACTATATAGTTCGCAATGTGGATTTTGTACTCCGGGTTTTGTAATGTCACTTTATAGTTTATTGCGCAATAATCTCAATCCATCTGAGGAAGAAGTTGAAGAGTGTTTTGATGGTAATCATAATTTGCATAATTCTCTTGTATGTAGGTGGCATAATAATTGTTGAATTTCGTATAAAATCTTGTCACTTAGGTAATCTTTGCAGATGTACTGGTTATCGCCCTATACTGGATGCTGCAAAAACGGTATAAATAAATAAATATATATATATATATTTTAAGAATTTACTAAGCTTTATATTCTTTAATAGTTTGCGAATAATGAAAATAATGAGCCTCAAGAAGTATAAAATTAAATAAATATATATTTATATATTTATATACAATATCTCTGATTTAATTGTTGAATTGTTTCACTTAGAATGTAGGATGTGGTAAAGCTGATTGTTGCAAATTGAATAATGTTGATACTAATTTTGACCATAACTTTTCACAAGTAAGTTTTGTTATTAGAATTTGAAATAATATTTTTGAGTAGATGATGCTCAATACAAATTTAATTCATTGACTATAATATAAATTCATTTATAATGTAAGATAAAATTCAAAAAATATGACGCGACTCAAGAATTGATTTTTCCTCCAGCATTAATGAAATATGAACCTGAACCTTTACATTTTTATAGTAATAAAACAAAATGGTTCAGGCCTATTGATCTGAATCAGTTATTATCCTTGAAAGCAGAATATCCAAACGCTATTTTAGTATCTGGCAATACTAGAATTAGTATTGAAAAAAAATCCAAGAATTTGAAACATGAGATTCTAATTTATTTGGGTGATATACCAGAATTGAAATCTTGGGAATTTAATGGTAATTAATTTTATTTTAATGTTTAAAATGTTAATTTGTATAATTTCACTAAATATTGTATTTATAATTTCAATTAGATGATGGATTATATCTCAGTGCAAACATGAGTATTTCTCAAGCTCAAAAAGTATTAAAAGAAGCATGCCATCATTATAAGGTTTTTAAGAAAATAAATTTAAATGCCGTTTTTTTTTTTTATCATTTAAATTCACCAAAATTACATTCATTCTTTCTACGTATATTAAAGCCTCATCAAATTCAAACATTTGAAGTTCTTTTAGAAAATCTAAAGAGATTTGCTACTAATCAAATCCGTCAGGTTTCCACATTGGGTGGAAATGTTATTGCTAACTTGTCAGATTCGGATTTGATTCCTTTTCTTCTTTCATCAAAATCTATATTTTCACTCACCTCTTTACAATCTGCATCACCAAAAAGTCGACCTATTCCATCTATATCTTTTTGGACGGGATATAAACAAGACTGTCGTGAAAGTTCTGAAATCTTGGAAAAGATTTTTATTCCATGTTCAAAGCAAGGTCAATACATCAGAACTTATAAACAGTCTAAAAGGCATTATGGTGATACTGCTATTGTTAATGCTGCATTATCAGTATCATTGGATGATAATGCTTGTGTGGAAGATGCTGCTTTTGCTTTTGGAGGTATGAATGAGGCTGTTATTAGAGCTCCAAAATCTGAAAATTTTATTTCGGGTAAAAAGTGGGGTGATGAAGATGTGTTAAAACAATTAATTGAGATATTATGTGAGGTATATACAATACATAAATTTTCATTAAATTTTCATTTTAATTAAGTTATTCAACTAAAAATCTTACTTCACTATCGTAATTATAATTATAATAGGAATTTCAATTAAGTTTCTCTTTTGCTGGTGGAATGGCAACTTATCGTAAATCATTAGTTGTTGGGTTTATGAATAAGTTTTGGTATGATGTCACAAAATTTGCAAACATAGGACCGATTAGTTCTGATATAGAAAACTGTATTGGAGAAATAAAACGTAATGTTTCTAAAGGTATTCAAACCATAGGACGACCAGAGTAAATATTTGATTTCAATATTTATTGATTCAAATTAAGGAGCATATTTTAACTGATTAAATAAATATTATTAAATAGGAAGGGTAATAAAATTGTTGGAAAACCAATTTCTCATGTATCTTCTATGTCACATAATACTGGTGAAGCGACATATATTGATGACATACCAAAGATACAGGGTGAATTATATGGTGCTCTAGTTGTATCAGAGAAGGCTCATGCTAAAATATTAAAGTATTTTTTATGGTTTTTTTTTTAACAAGGTTATGATTTAATTTAATTGTAATTAATTTTAATAATTAATTATTCTCTCAATTCTTGTTAATAGTATTGATCCAACTCAAGCATTAAGTACACCTGGTGTAAAGGGATTCTTTTCAGCAAAGGATGTACCTGGAAAAAATAACTGGGGAATTATAATTCAAGATGAAGAAATTTTTGCCAGTAAAGAGGTTTTTTGCGTCGGTAAGCTGAATTCATTCACTATATTTGCTTAAATCTTTATTAATACAGTATAGTTATTTGAAAATTCAAGGAATTCGAGATTTTAAATTTGTTGGTTTTTTTTAATACAGGGCAAGTTATTGGATTGATAGTTGCTGAAACGAAAGAAATTGCGCAGGAAGCTAAATCTTTAGTGAAAATAGAATATGAAGAATTACCTCATATTTTAACTATCGAGGAAGCAATTGAACAAAATAGCTTTTTCCCGATGCCTCAACAACTTGAACGAGGAGATATAGAAAAAGGGTTCCAAGAAGCTGATTATGTTTTTGAAGGTAAATATAATCAATATTCAAGATTTTACGATATTTTCTTTGCATATTACAAACTATTTTTTTTGATTTTATTATGTAGGTGAAACAAGAGCAGGTGGTCAAGGTGAATTTTAATTTATTAAATATTTTTCTTATATCATGAATAGTTTTAATATACAAGTTAAATTTAAATTCTATATTGTTAATTAGAGCATTTTTATATGGAAACAAATGTTTCATTGGTAATTCCAAAAAAAGAAAATGATGAATTCGAAATTTTTTCATCTACTCAAAATGTCACTTCAACGCAAAATAAAGTTGCCGAATCACTCGGTATCCCAGCCAATAAAGTTGTAGGTCGAGTAAAAAGGGTAGGAGGAGCTTTTGGTGGCAAAGAAACAAAAAGCCTTTTTTTAGCAATGGCTTTAGCAGTCGGTGCTTGGCATCTTAAAAAACCTATTAGGTGTATGTTAAATCGTGAAGAAGATATGATTATAACAGGACAAAGGCATCCAGTCTTAGCGAGATGGAAAATTGGTTTAACTAAAGATGGAAAAATTACATCGTTGGATATAAAAGTAATAAATTTTTTTTTAAATTCAGATTTTTTTCATTTTTCATTTAGTATTTTTATAACTTTTTTCTTTTTATTATACTTAAGTTTTATGCTAATGCCGGATGGTCAATGGATATATCCATAATCGCAGTTCAAGCTTGTATACAAAGCGCTGATGGTTGCTATTATATTCCGAACTTACGATTTGTGGGACAAATCTGCAAGACCAATATTCATTCAAATACAGCATTTAGAGGGTTTGGACGTCCTCAAGGAGTGCTTATTATTGAAAGTATCCTGTCTGAAGTTGCTGATCATATGAGAATTGATGTTAATGAATTGAGGGTTTGTAATTTGTAATTTATTGTATATATAAGTTATTATTTTTAGTTTCAATGTTTTTCTTTTGAATAGGAGAAGAATATCTACATGGAAGGTCAAATAACTCCTTATAATCAAACAGTGAAAGATTGGTATTTACCTTTGGTCTATCAACAAGTAAAAGAAACTAGTGAATTTGAAAAAAGAAGGAAAGAAGTTGATGAATTTAATTCTAAAAATAAATGGAGAAAAAGAGGTTTATCACTTATGCCAATCCAATTTGGAGTCTCTTTTGGTATACAGTTTTTGAATCAAGCTGGTGCTTTAGTACATATTTACATCGACGGGAGCGTTCTTATAAGTCATGGTACTTATCATTGATTCTCATATTCATATGAATTTTTTTACATGAATTTGATTGTTAATGTCTTGTATTTTTAAATTTAGGTGGTGTTGAGATAGGACAAGGGCTTAATACAAAAATGTTGCAGATTGCTAGTGAGGCTTTGGATGTTCCTATAGATTCAGGCAAAATTTTTTTTCATGACATTTGCAATTATATACATAGTAAGCATTGTCTAGTTATCTAGTTATCTAATATTGTTGTTTTTCCAAAAAAAATAGTTCATTTAATGGAAACTGCCACGAATATAGTAATTAATGCATCGCCTACTGCTGCAAGTGTTAGTAGTGATCTTAATGGACATGCTGTTTACAACGCTTGTAAAATTTTGGCAGAAAGGTTAAAACCATATCGTGAGAAAATGCCAAATAAAAGCTTCCAAGAGGTATTCATGTTCAAATGTAACATGATATTAATGATTTTAATAATCATAATACATAATATTTATACTTAAATTTCTTAAATATATTTAGATTGTTGATGCTGCATATCATGACCGAGTCAATTTATCAGCCAATGGATTCTATAAAACTCCAGATATCGGTTACGATGATAAAAAAAATGAAGGGCTATTGTTTCCATATTATACAACAGGGGCAGCATGTACAGAGGTTGAAATTGATACATTAACGGGTGATCATACAATCTTAAGGACAGATTTATGCATGGATATTGGTAAAAGTTTAAATTATGGAATAGATGTTGGACAAATTGAAGGAGGATTTGTTCAGGGTGTTGGATGGTGTACTTGTGAAGAAACTTTACATTTTCCAAATGGTCAATTGTACACTAAAGGACCTAAAGAATATAAGATACCTGGGCCCAGGTTTTTTTTTTCTCTTTAATTTTTTGTTTTGTTTTCTTTTTTTTTCTTAATGCAGATCCTAATTTTTTTTGTTTGTTATAGGGATATACCTCAAGATTTTAGAATATATACATATGAAGGTGCAAAAGTATCTAATTTAAATTCAATTCATGGTAGTAAAGGAATTGGTGAACCACCATTGCTTTTAGGATGTACAGTATTTTTTGCTATTAGGGATGCTATTAAAGCTGCGAGGTATTTCATTGTTTAAAGTATCTTTTAGTGATTTACCTAATTATTTATCTAATTATTTCTTGTCTATTTATTTTAAAAAAAGAAAATGTAATAATAACGACACTGTAGTAGTTTTAAGATCACCCGCAACACCTGAAAGAATTCGAATTGCTTGTGATGATGAGATTGTAAGGAATTGTAAGGTTGAGAAAAAAGATGGAGAACTTCCATGGGTTATTAGAGTTTAATACTGATGCGATTGGTGGCGTGAAGTGCCACCTATTTTATTCAGTAACTTAGTAATAAAATTAGTATTACCAGTTAAACCGTATGACTTTTAAACTTGTCTGTGTATAATGAGTAATTATTTTTGAGCCCAGACTAATTTTATATGACTTGGTCTGGATTCAAAAATAATTACCCATATATTAAGTACTGTACTATATTTAAATATATTAAATAAGGTTTATATGCTAAGATTCTCATGATGTTTGCGTATTTAAAATCAATGTGTAACTATAATATCATTAAAATCATGAATTCTCTGTCGTTAATGCTTGTTGACGAGGGTTATACATAGTGATGGGCAAATCGCGGTTTTTTTAAAATCCCGCGCAGCCGCGCGGGATCACGCGCGGGATCCGCGCGTGATCCGCGGGATAGGATAGAGTTTTTTAATTTCTCACGAATTTAATAAATATATTCTTGGTGCATTACTTTTATATAAAAAATTAAAAATTTTAGATTCTTTACGTTATTAATATTAAC